GAGTTCGGGGACAACCCCCTCCGATCTTCCGAACTCCACTGCTTCCCAGAATGCAGACCAGGGTCACCTCCTCCCACATCTCCACGGCCTCGACACTCAAGGAGACCGGATGTCTGCCTAAAGTCCTCCAACATAAGAGAAATGAGGGAAATGTGTGAAGGCTCATGAACATCAGTTTCCTTGTTATCCCTTTGGTTTTCAAATGTAAGGAAATTAAAGATGAGAGAAACTGGGAGCCCTTTTTCATAAGGTTTCAATATGACTGTGGGGGTGCTGCAATGGCCGTAACTTTGGGGACTGGGTGTAAGTACCATTCGTTCAGCACCGCCATAGGTTCGAATGGACACTGAATGAACGGTCGTAACTCAAGAACTACCGCTATACTGGTGGAACAGTGGGAAAATATGTGGTTAAAAGGATTGAAATTTACATTATGTTATAACCTAAAAGAGAATTTTTATCAAATGATGTATCGTTGGTATATGACTCCAGAAAAATTGTCTATAATGTATAAAGTACATACTGGTGGAACAGTGGGAAAATATGTGGTTAAAAGGATTGAAATTTACATTATGTTATAACCTAAAAGAGAATTTTTATCAAATGATGTATCGTTGGTATATGACTCCAGAAAAATTGTCTATAATGTATAAAGTACTTCAAATTTATGTTGGAAATATAGACAACATGAAAGGTCATTTTATCATGCCTGGTGGACTTGTAAAAAAGCCAGAAATTTTTGGGTTCAAATACATATAATGATACAAAGAATTTTAAAGATCAACATTCAGCTGAAAACTTTAAATGCCTCCCTTGAGGTGGGTCTTGTAGAACAGGTAGTCCTTCTTACTGACCACTTGTTCAGCGACCATTCGAAGTTGCCGTGGCACTGAACGAATGGTACTTATGACCGAGCCTCAAAGTTCTGGGCTGTCCCAGCACCCCTGTGGTCACCTGATTGCGATTTGGGTGCTTGACAACCTGCTTGTGCTCATGGTCATGTGATCGCCATCTGCAACCTTCCCTGCGGGTTTCCCACAAGAAAAGCAACGAGGAAACTGTCAGGGAAGATTGCAAGTCACTCCGATAAGTCTCCCCGGTCTCCCTGCTCTCGGGTGGCCCCACATCCTGCTTCCCCCGGCCTCCCTGCGCTCACGCACGGCCTGCACTGGGCATCCCAGGGCCTCCCCCATGGCACCCCCCCCATGCTCCTTACCAGGGAGCCCCACCGCTTCCCACTTGATGACCTGCATAGTCCTTGGGTTACGATGGCCACCGGGACTGCTGGCATTGCTGCTGCTAAGCGATGCAGTCCCGTGACGTCCTGCTTTACGACCACATCACTTATCAACAGCAATCCCGGTCCCAATTGCTGTCATAACTTGAAGGCTACTTGTAATTAGGGCTAAAAGCTTGGTGCAAGAGGGCCGCCCTGGCTGCTTTTCAAAATGCCATGAGGGAGGGGGCCGCATGGATTTTCCAAAGCGTGGGGGCCACAACAGAAAAGGGCTGCCACCTGGGCTATCTCCCCTTAACCTCTGTTGGCTGGGGGGGACTTTTAATGGTCCCCTGAAGATGTTCCTCCTGGACATGCATGTACAGCCCAGGGCAGGCAAGGCGGTGCCTGTTGTATGGAACTGGTTTGCCACTGACCTTCTTCTAGAATGTTCTTAAGCTTCCCAGTCTAGCCTCCAGCTGGGCATTTCCTTGGGGTTTCCCATCCAGCCTCTTAAGTTCCTGCCTTTGCAGAACCCCTCCTAGACCAGTCCTACAGCAGAGAGAGCAACTTCCTCCCCCTCTGATGCATACACCGAGTCTGAGGGTCCTTGCAATACTTGGATATAGAACAGTGACAGAAAGGAGAAGAAATATGAAGGGGCTGGGTGCATGATTTCGTATATTTTTAAACAACTCTGATACTGTTGTTCGTTTTGGTTGTACCACACATGGGTTTACGTGTTAGGTTTTAAGGGCGTTGTTTTTAGACTGTGAAATGAATTTGATTGCTAGCCACGGCCCAGAAACTTTGGAAATTGGCAGCATGTGAATAAGGTCAATAAATGCCTCAATAAGTCTCGAACCTCATTTGGGAGGATCTGTAAGTCCCCCTGCATTCAGAAGGACTTCTTCCCAACACAGGGGCGGGCCAATTATTTTCCTGTTGGAGGTGAAGGGCAATTCCTCATAGGGGCCACCCTCAGTGGACAAATTCTTCAGTAGTGCTGATGTGCACATACCAAAGGGGGCTTGCATTTGTGATGCTGTATCCGCCATCTTGCCTTTTTCGACCCCCCTCCCCGACACCAGCAAGCTGTGCGTGCAACAGTTCTCTCCTCCAATACCTTCCGATCAATCCCATCCCCCCCAATGTCTAAGCAACACTCCCAGCCCGCCCTACCATTGCAACCTTCAGTGTTCTTGACGTGCGCAGAACGAGTGTCGTCCGATCCTTGGTTGTCCAGTATGACCGATGTGAAGTCTTAGCTTTTGGTTAATGTGGGAAAGCCGTTTTCCACTGGTGGCGGAAACTGAAATGGTGTTGGCGAGCAGGTTGGTGACCTTCCATCTCTGGTGATGGTGCACACCAGACCAGAAGCTCCCTCCCTGGACTTGAATCTGCTGTGTTCTGGGAACTTGGGTGGTGTGGTTCGCTTAGGGTGCATAGTATCACGGTGGACGCAGAAAACTGGGTTGATCAATCCGAAGTCAGTTAAGCACATCGCTCAAATTTTGGCACAGGCAGAAAGACAAAGTCTGTCTTTGCTTCCTCTTTTTTTCACTGTGCTGTAGCTAAGTCTTTTGGGCTACAGTGGGAAGCTGACAGCCTTCTGGCGACAACCTGGGGCACTGTACATGTGCCCTGCACAGAAGACCAAGTGGTTCGAACCCAGTGAACCGAACTGGCTTTGAGTTGGAGGACATCCTACTGGGTGGAACGGCTCTAGCAGATCCCCCTCCCTTTAGGCCAGAAGAGCTACATAAATCTGTTTCTCAACCTTGCCCACTTTAAGATGAGTGGACTTCAACTCCCAGAATTCCCCAGCCAGCCATTCTGGGAGTTG